TAGGACTCACGTTATGTTAGGACTCACGTTATGTTAGGACTCACGTTATGTTAGGACTCATGTTATGATAGGACTCACGTTATGTTAGGACTCACGTTATGTTAGGACTCATGTTATGATAGGACTCACGTTATGTTAGGACTCACGTTATGTTAGGACTCATGTTATGTTAGGACTCAGGTTATGTTAGGACTCATGTTATGATAGGACTCATGTTATGTTAGGACAGGACTTACAGGGGCGGACCGGGCGTTTCACGTCCCGGCCCTCAGTGGGCTCCCTCTGAATCACCCCTTAGTAACCAGGTTATGCTTATAGAAGTCATCTTATTATCTAGAAATACATATCGGGGGGACACAAGTCTCCTGCTACTGGTCTTCTACTACAGCCCATCAATAAGATCCTCATAAAGTCGCAATATTATTTAGGAAACTTTTCTCACTTTTCTTGAAAAGTCCATCTTGAAAATGGCCTCGACAGTAAATCTGCCACCAAATCCATTTCTTCTCCTCCTTCAGCCGCTGTGGGGGGGTAAAATAGCTATTACAGCTAAAACATCTATGTTTGGGTTGGTTTGCTAGCTTTGGCAGGTAGGCTATTTGACTATCCAATCAGCGGGTGTGCATACGGTGACGTTGCCTAAGGCCTTCTAGAAGGCCCTGGCTGTCACCAACCTAAAATCTGATTGGTTAAAGTAACAGTTTAATGGACATGTATCTTCTGTTAGAGGGCAGAACGGATTGTGAAGCCTCCAGGCGGACATCTTTGACTTTGACCCTGCCTAGCAACAAACGATGGCTAAAATGTGATTGGTTTAAAGCTTTTATATGAAAATAAATGTCTGGAAGCAGCACAACCAGGAGAAAAACTATGAAAGGAAGCGGACAGACTATTTAGAGATATTTAATAAGCATTCGTGGACAGATGTAATTAACATCAGTCTGTGATTCGGCCCACCACTGGTTAACAGGGATATCACACACAAAGGCAGGTGTTTCTGATGCAGTTACAGATGTTTCCACATGTTTTTCCCCTCAGGAGGCGGGGCCGAGCATCAAGCGCACCAAGATGAGTGACGACAGCGGGCTGGACATGGACAACGCGGCTGAGAACGGGGGCGGGGACTCCATGATCGACGCAGGGGCCAGTGAGATAGAGCTGGTGTTTCGGCCTCACCCCACCCTGATGGAGAAGGACGACACTCACAACAGGTAGAGAATCACACGCCAAAGGAAAAGGAGCAGAAGAGAGTAAAAATACCCGGTAACGGCAAGGAGGACGAGGGGGTCAGCACAGAAATGCAACAGATCAGAGCCCAGAGACTCTTCATTCTAGTTAACACCACACCTAGAATTATCTGAAATTCTACACCTGAACAATCTTTAAGAGTTTTAACACAACAGGATATATCCATCACCAGTGCAACTTTGGCCTCGATCAGTCTGAATATAGTGCTGCCGTTTATCAATATATGCTAGGGTGCTCGTATGCTAGCCCAATAAAACGGCCCAATAAGCTCATGGCTCGCATCTGTGGGTGTTTTCATGTCCCAGCTCTGAATACCCCCCTTAGAGCCCCCTATTGGCCATTATAGTCCATTATCTGGGGATGCGTTTTCATTTCTGCTCCAGGTTTCTGCCTGTTAAAGGAAGTTTTTCCTTGCCTGTGTCGCCTAGTGCTGCTCATGGTGGGAATTGTTGGGTTTCTGTAATTAACTTCAGAGTAGGTCTGACCTGCTCTGTATGGAAAGATAACTGTTGTTGTGATGTGGCTATAGAAATAAACTTGAATTGAACTGAATTTCCATCCTGTTCTTTCTCCGTGCAGCGTGGAGTTCGTCCCCCGCTACATCAAGACCTCAGGTAACGCCACGGTGGATCACCTCTCCAAGTACCTGGCGGTGCGGCTCGCCCTGGAGGAGCTGAGGAGAAACTCTGAGGCCAGTCCGGTTAATGTGGAGGCAGCCTCAGAGAAACAGTACACCATCTACATCCCCACAGCGGGAAACCAGTACACCGTGAGTACCAACCGCCTCTGCTGTAGTCCCATCTAAACACGTCAGATCCTGGGTATTTAGTCCCATCTAAACACGTCAGATCCTGGGTATTTAGTCCCATTTAGACACCTCAGATCCTGGGTATTTAGTCTCATCTAAACACGTCAGATCCTGGGTATTAGCTCTGCTATGAGTGAGTCAGCACTCACTGAAGACATTTATTCAGATTAAAACATTTCAGATCTTTATCACCACACTCAGGAGTTCAGGACGCCTCAAGTCCAGTGTTCTGACTCCTTTAGTATCTATAGGAGTTAATCCCCAGTTAGGGTTAGGGTTGGGATCACTGGATCACAGCTGGAAAGTGTCCTGGAATCCCAGGATAATCAAACGGGATGTCAGAGTTGTTGTTTTAGAACCTCAACCTGGTATTACCCTCTATGCTAACCGATAGCTTTTCCTCTAAGTTTTTGTTTTGAAGCCATGTCTAAAATCTAAATGATGTCTTAAAACCCACATAAAGGATATCCAGCTGTTTGATTCTTGAACTCTGTTCCCAGGTTCTGAATGGTTCGTTCTCCTTGGAGCTGGTCAGCGAAAAGTATTGGAAAGTCAACAAGCCCATGGAACTGTACTTTGCCCCCACAAAAGAGCACAAGTAAACGGAGTAAACGCGTCTGCCCACACACTCGTAGACGCTCGCTAGTCAGCAGATGGACTCGCCCACCGCTGTGTTGGAGAGCAGTCGGGGAGGATTACACCCTGAGTAGGACTCTTGTAAAAAGAAAAACCCTTTTTATATTCTCTGTATCTTTTCCTGTGTCTTTTTCTTTGTAGGTGCTAGCTCTGCAGCAGAACCAACATCTGATAGTGTAGATCCACTCCAGATTCAGGTTCCACCTTAGTGGGATGAGCTGCTGTACAGACAGAAATAAACCTTTCAAACGCACCATTGTGGGTCTGTTCTCAGAGGTCTGGGCTGTGTGTTGTGCTCTGCTGAGTCTCACTGTGTACTATAGTAAAACAGGATGCATGCTTTTATCCGGAGACGTCTGCTGGGGTTTACTCTGTGTCTGTGACTTGCTTTGGTAGAATCAGACTGGCTCACGTTTGTCCTTTATCCACCCGATGAGAATGTGCTGCTCCACCAGGGTCTGCGTCCCTAACCCTAACCCTTCTGGCCTGGTCTCCATCAGCTGAGCTCCTCACAGAGCCCAGTCCAGTACATAAATACAGTACATAATGAGCTCTCTCACATAAATACAGGTGTCTCTGTCAGGCTACTGACCATGAGGCCATGAGCTATGAAGCAGTGGACTGACTCAGTCTGCCCCGTTAGGCCTCAGGGATCAGATCAGGCCCCATTCAGCCGGCCTAACCACTGAGTTATCCTGGTTTGTGCTTTTCGTGGGGCCAGCCCCTGGTGGACTCGTCAGTGACCTCCTCTCCCCTCAGGGTCTACCTCGTTTCTGGGTTTTGGTACTCTGGTACCTCGTTTCTGGGTTTTGGTACTTTGCTGGTTTTCTGCAGGATGGTGGATGAAGTGTGATCACATGTGGAGGAGATGGCAGAAGCAAAGCTAAGGACAGACTGGGTCTGCACAGCCCCCCCCCCCCCCCCCCGCGCCCTCCCCGGGGGGGTTGGGGGGGGGGGGGGCATCACACTTTGGCTCCATGAACTCTGAAAGTCTGCTCAAAGGTTCATCTGTGTTCTGAAGTGCTGAGCGTTAACTGTTTCTAAAATAAACACTTTTTTGTCTGTTTTTGTAACAACTGAATCTGTTTTCCGTTGGTGGTGCATTCAGGGACGTGGTAAACTGGGGAGGTGAATATAGAGGAGGGGTTCTAGGTCCTCTTTTACTACATGACCTTCTTAGGAACTCAAAAGATTTTTCACTATCACTAAGATTTATTAATATCCTTCCACTACCTGTTCAGTCTGGAAGCAAGAAGACTCAGCTTTATTTTGCCTTATAAGTATCAGAAGAACCTCTATAGTGGATTAAATGATGGCTGGAAGTCCCATTAAAGAGGTTTACTACTAAAGTGTTAACATGTAATAGTCAGAAATTGAAGATTTCAGAGTCTGAAATTACACAAGAAAAAGGGAGATCAACATCCATGTAACAGTAAAGAAAGACCAATATGAACAGATGTGTATCTACAGAAAACCTGAGAAATCTAACCACTGATGACTGGAAACAAGATCTATGGACCAATAAAATGACATAATGTGTCTGGACAAATTTTTTAGACACTGAAATGTCAAACAGCCAAACATGGAGGTTTTAGTTGTAGGAATGGGGTGTTTGCAGATGCTAATGGGCTTGTCTGCTGTCATAAGGAAATACTATAGTTTTTTAACTGAAGAGTTATCGTAGATCTGAACTTTGACCTTAAACTGAGCACAGGGTGGATTCCCAGTGCATGTGGGGGGTCATGGTCCAGTTAGAAAATGTACAAATATTCAAGTCCAGTTAAGTATCTGTAAATAGATATATATATGAAGACAAAGAAAAACAATAGAATGACAATAGATTATTAAATCAGTTGAAGAAACCATTTAGACTGATTATTCAGTGCCCACTAGATGGCAATGTTGTGTCAAAATATCACTTTTTTATTATTCATATCTGTCAATCTATATAAAAACCTAAATCACCTGGGCAGTTAGCATTGTAGATAACCCACAAATCGGTTCAAAACGGCGAGAATAGCAAACCCTTTTTTGTGTCCATTTGGAAAGTGGCAAAAATTTCAACTTTTTTCTCTCACTAGAGGGAGTAGGAATAATGTGAGACTTTAGGCTGAGGTCCTCGATTGATATTTAAATTCATATATATATATAAACACTTCTCAAAGAAGGAGTCTCATAATAAAAGAAGGTTTATTGAACAAAGGAAACTCAGCAGGACAAAATGTTAATAAGGAGACTCACCAGAAAAATGGAGAAAAGAGGAAAAAACCCCACTCACAATCACTGTAGAGGAACAGGGGAAAAGTTATAACCAGAGGACCCAGAAATATGATGCACGTGGGGGGGGGGGCACTGAAAAGTCCTCGGTGTGTTCTGGGTGTCCTAACCCTAACCCTAACCCTAACCCTAACCCTAACCCTAACCCCAACCCAAAAGCTCTGAGACAGAGCCCAGAAGCTGACAGCTGGACTGGCAGTGTTTATGAGTGTTTATGAATGTTTATGAGTGTTTATGAGTGTTTATGGACTGTGAGTGTTTACTGAGAGGTCCAGATGAACTCCAACAGGTAAACACACATCAGAAGACAGTCCTGGGTCAGATCAGTGCTGTCATCTCAGTGTTTTTAAGGTAATGGAAGCTTCTGAGATCAGTCAGATAGCCTGTGGGATAATGTCCATCCTGGGTAGAGCTACAGGAGAGATTAATAAGAAATGCAGAGCACGGGAGCTCATTGTGATGATTGAATTAGGCTCATGTCCACTAGGTGGCAATCATGAGTTCACATGAATGCATAAATGTAAAGAACAGGACAAGAGAAGGGGCTTGTCTTGGGTGACACACCTATAAGGAACCTGTGTGAGCAGACTCATGAGGAAACTTTAATAAAAGTGTTTGAGCAATACAAGAAGCCTGGTCATTATCAAACACGAATATAACACTGATGTTATTGGTTTAACCATCAGGAATCCAGAGTAAAGCAGCAGCCCCATAAATGAACCACAGGCTGATTCTGATTCTGATCATGTGGGTCTGAACATGCTCATTTCAGTAAACCTCATGGCACTCCTTCTATTGAGGTGTGAGTTCAAACTAAAGACACAGAACAGCTACATGGAAGGAGGCCTTTCTGAGAACTCACCAGTTAGAACTAGCTGGAGGAAAACTCTCTGGATGAACTGATATCAGAGGTTTCCCTCTGGCTACCAGGACCTGTGTGAGGTTCTTTGTGTTATCAGACAAAGGTTTCTGTGGGCTGTGGTTGTTAGACCAGCATTTTGAGACAAAACATGACACACACCCCCCCCCCCCCCCCCCCCCATCCTGTCCTGAGTCCCCGGAGCTGGAGTCAGATTATCAAAGTACACTATTATCCAGCACTGCCAGGAAAATGAGAGCATTAGTGTAAAATGTGTGTTTGGTGATAAGTGAAGCTAATTAAATGTACCAGCATCAGGTGTGTGTGTGTGTGTGTGTGTGTGTGTGTGTACACAGCAGCTTCTGTGTGCTTACATTTTCATTTAATTCTGTTGACATCCCTGGAATAGAGTTATTACAGAGGTGAGTGCCACCTCCTGCACAGTGACAGAACACGCTCCCCTTTCATTTACCTGGTCCTCCAGAAGGTGTGTTTGTGTGTGTGTGTGTGTGTGTGTGTGTGTGTGTGTGTGTGTGTGTGTGTGTGTGTGTGTGATTATCTCTGTGTGTGTGTGTGTGTGTGTTAGCCTCAGAGGGTGTCTGGGGGGGGGGATATTGCTTTCAGGTGTGACTCTATATCAGTCTGTCTTTTTAATGGATCCTGACTGCAGCGAGCAATTAACTTCCTGCGGAGGAACATGTTTGTTCCGTGGTCGGTGTCATAAAGAAAGATAATAGAAAGCTACAGGTCACATCCACTTTTCCATGGAGGAGATAATGAACGTGGAGCTGAGCGCTCTCTCACTCCATCAGACGTAATGTGCTGAGAAGTGTTGGCCGTAGATCCTCCTGTCCTATGTGTCCGTACAGGTCTGATGGGGGGGGGGCACAGGGTCACATGTTCATCAAAGGCTTCTGTCCCAACTGGACCCTCCGGTCATCAGTGGACTGAGGTCTAGCAGAGCCTTCACCAGCTTAAGACCATCCAGACTGTTTAATGTGTCGTTCCAAGATGGAGGAACCAGCTACCAAGCTACCAGAGCAGCAGGTCCCTGTCTGTCTTCAGAAACTCTTGAAGACCCCCCTCTTCAAAGAGGATTCATAATAAAGGCTCCATCTGGTCAGGAACCAGGAGGACTTATGACCATCTACAGCCCTAAACGTTTGGACTTTCAGGGACTGTGATGTTTGCTTACAAACTAGTTTTATTTCTGTTGTAAGAGCAAACTGCACAGTGCTCAACTCTAGAAAAAGGGAGGCACACAAACCCAAGTGGAGCTATAAGAACATATCAGAAACATAGAAAAGATCAGCCGAGTATCAGCTCCTGCTACTGAGCTTTTCAGGGAGCTTTGGGGAGTTTTGTGTGACTTGTTACTGAACAGTGCAGGGACTCCATATTTCCCCTGAACACTCAGCAGCTCACGGTTTCTGGGCTCTGGTGGTGTGAAACTGCTCGGGGACGGGCAGACAGCGGGGCACGCTGATACCCACCGACACACAGATGGCTGCGCTAATTATTAGAGATCCAGCCCCCGGCACATCACAGCCCACTCACAAAGGACTCACAAAGACAAACTCACTAAACTCTTCT